GCCAGAGGGAGCTGCGCCGGGCTGGGCTGTGCGCGCTGGTGCGAGCGAGCGAGGAGGAGTCTGCGCGGAGCGGGCGCTGGGCTCCGGGGCAACGGCGGCTGGCTCGCTCGCTCGCTATGAATGCTGTCCGGGCTCTGCTCTCCGCCGTGTTCCTCGCCTGCTTCTTCTGGGGGGATCTGCCCTGTTGCCAGCAGGCCACCATCCCCCCTGCCGCCGCCGCCGCCGCCCCCGCGCCGCATCCCCGGGAGTCTGCCAAGGCCGGCATGAGGACCCGCCGGGAGAGCAAAGCGCCCCGATTGCCTCGAGACGCCGCTCGGAAGGGACCCCCAGCTGCCGCCGCCGCCGCCCAGCCCCGGGTGGAACCCCACGAGTACATGCTCTCCCTCTACCGGACCTACTCCATCGCCGAGAAACTGGGCATCAACGCCAGCTTCTTCCAGTCTTCCAAAGCCGCCAACACCATCACCAGCTTTGTCGACCGGGGGCGAGGTAAGCAGCTTGCGCGCCTCCTTCCCCCCCCCCTTTCTGCCTTCGCTCCCTGCCGCTCCTTCCTCGGTGACCAAGTAACAATTGGGGGGGCGCCCTGTTGCCCCCATATCTCTTCCAGAGAAACCCCCGATGCATCTCACCCCACAAATGAACGGCTTATCAGTGAATTAGCTCTCCGCCTACATTTGTAAATTCGAGCATTGCTCGCCCCATAATGTCAGCAGGGTCCTGGATTCGCTTCCTCGTCGATCACGTTTCACCAGCATCCCCTAAATTGGAGCTCAAGGGGAGATCGGAGGCTTCCTCGGGGTGTGTTCACACGTGCGTTCTGACCTTGTAGCAAACGCTGTCTGTTTCTAGCTTTGGATTTGCTTCTCAGCCAACAATGCATTGGCTTAGGGTTTCAGAGTTTCAGAGTTTTATTCACGCCTACCTGGGAGTAAGCCCCACTGAAATGGGTGGGAGGGAAGCCTCCGCTTGTTCTTTCAAGGCAGAATCGGCGTGCTTTTTTAAAGAGACGAGAATTCTCCCGGGTCTGGTGGGAAATCTTAGCATTGGTTTCCAAAATCCGCTATATATATATATATAATATCATTATATATATATATAGCTATATATATATATAATATCATTAGCACGGATTGCTTACGTGATATATATAAAATATCATTAGCACGGATTGCTTACGTGCCGTTCAAGTTTCGTTCTCTTTCTTTCCCGCCCTGCGTGGCCCAGATGACAGGATCCCCTGAATTTGAAAGCATATTTTCTGAAACACCAAAACCCAGACATCCACGTAACTGAAACAAAGGAAGGATTTTCTCGTTTGCCCAGAAGGGGCACTTTTGCTCCCCATTTCCGTGTACCAGTTTTGTGGTCCAGAGCGGGCGGGTTGTTAAGGACTAACTTCTTTAAAAATAAAAAATAAAGTCTCTTCGTGAATTTAACGTTGGCCGTCAAAGCTGTTCGGTCTCGAATTTTGCTCGATCCTACCCTTTCTAGGAGGGTTTTCTTGGTCACCCTGTTTGGTCCTCTTCCCGGGTCCCGATCCTGTGTGAAAGTAACGAAGAGAGAGGTTTTCAGATATTTCTGAGTACCAATGGTGGCTGGCGTTTCTTTGCGTTGCGTGCCAGTGCGAATCGGCGCCACGGCGCACATTCGAGCGGGCTGCGGTGTGCGCGCGTGGAGGGGGAAAGACGACTTAAATCTCAGTCCTCTCCCCGGCTGCTCTTGCGCAAAGACCATGAAGTGTGGCTCGCCTCCAGATTGCATGCGCACAGGACTTCAATGGGCGGCGTGGGAATCGGCCGCCTTCTCAGACTCAGATCCGACCGGGATATGAGGCACAATCGACAGGGTTAGAATCCACGAGGCAGACTGGATCCCGGGATCGGCCGAAGATCGCTCCTTACGCCCCCCCCCAACTCCCTTTACGTCCTCAGTGCTTCCCCGGTGGCTTAGCTTTTGGTTAGGGAACGGCGTGTTCGCTTTGTGAAATCTCTTGAGATCCTTTGAGGATTCCGCTCCGAATTGCAGGCTGCGAATGATCTGCGAGCGTTAGGCATTCGAGCATTCTGCATCGGTCTCTCCCCCCCCGCGTCCCAAAATCAGGGCCCCCTTCCTTCTCCCCCTCCTTCACCTGTTCAGGTCCCTCTACCTCAGTTACTGAGTGCCGACGGCCACCCCTGGCTGCCCTTCCGACGGGACTCACGAGACGTGGAAAATATTGGAGGGAGTGAGGGAGCACGAAGCCCAGGGCTTCCAGGATTGATTTTCGGGACAACTAATAAAAGCAGGCACTCCGTTTGAAAACAAAGGAAGGAAGAAAAAGGAAGTCTTCTCGATTCAGTGGGAGAGAGGGGTTCCCGCAATCAGACGGGAGCCCCTCGAATGCACAGGAGCCCCCCCCTTCCTTCAAACTAGGGTGTTCCCTCGCACCACTGGGTCCTTGCCAAGACCACTTATGCCTCTTCGTTCTGTGCCCTCCAGTTGCTTCCCTAATAGGGTTTTCCGGGTCCGTACGATGCTCAAGGAGCGGTTTACCGCTGCCAAGTGAGTTTCCGTGGCCAGGCAAGGATCTGAACTCAGCTCTTAGGAGCCCAAGTCCGACACTACGTCACACTACCTCTGTAAATCCTTTTGCTTACCCCAGCTGGTTGCCTCTAGCCCCCTTCCTGCCCTACCAGTAGGTTGCAGCGCCCAGATAGTTGAAGAAGAAAAAAACACACACACGCAAGAAGCGGTGGGCGCCCTTCCGGACGCCCTCGGCGTCTCATTGCAGATTCAGACCGTAAGCTGGGATGGGGAAGAGCAGAGAAGATTACTCTGCCGACCTTCCGGAAAGGCGCCCGCCCTCTCCCGGCTATTACTCGTCCTTGAGGCGGCACCATTAGGGCGTTGGAAAGAGCCGCCTTCGCGGGCGTGCCGTCGGGGGCCGGTCGGTCTCCCTTCGGAAGCAAAACTCGGCTGGGGATGATGGACGAAAGGCTGGTGCTACCTGCCCTCAGCCTGAGCAAAGCTTACAAGGGGTGGGGGAGCCCAAGAGCTCGGATCGGGGAAGCTGCAGAACGACATGTAAGGTGCGTACTGTATGTATATAATTTTAAGGGACACCATACGGATGCACCGCACTGCAACCGAATGCGCCATGCCTGCGAAGTACACCTTACACGTTATTGTGTGTGTGTGTGTGTGTGTGTGTGTGGTCTGCGAGAGCAAGAGCCCCTCCTCCCCATCCTATAAGGAAACTGCCTTCTCCATCCTCTCCGATGATCTCAGGGGACGTCGAGCAACCCCTCCCCCCAAAAAAAAAATCTCTTCTGCCTTGGATACGGTTTCCACCGATCCCTGCAAAACCTCCCCCGCTTCGAGAAGACGGCTTTTCCCTTCGCCAAGGAAGGAGCTCCGACTCCTGGGCCAGGCGGATCAGGACCGGGCGGAGGGGGGGCGGTTGTAAACGTAGGCACCCTCGGAGATCGCTCGGCTGGCACCTGGGCTCCCGGGAGGCTTTTGCAGGGGCGAGGGGCGGCTGCAGCAGCGGCCGAGCGAGGGAAAAGGCGCAGCGCCCGCCAGCCGCCCCGGCTAGAGGGGGCCCGCCTCCCCCTGCCTTCTCTCCCGTGTTCCCCCTACTGATTTTGATTTGATGTGTCACCGACTGTGACCTCGTGCTGGACCTTCTGAGGGTTGCTTAGCATCAAGCCACTGATTGGAGTATTTCAACTCAGTGATCTAATTGAGTGTTCATGTCATAACATATCAAATATTGTCTAGTCTCCCATAATGAAGGGGGAGCAGCCAATCGCGCCC